AAGTCGCGGTGGTAGTGGGTGGGGCTACAAGTCGCGGTGGTAGTGGGTGGGGCTACAAGTCGCGGTGGTAGTGGGTGGGGCTACAAGTCGCGGTGGTAGTGGGTGGGGCTACAAGTCGCGGTGGTAGTGGGTGGGGCTACAAGTCGCGGTGGTAGTGGGTGGGGCTACAAGTCGCGGTGGTAGTGGGTGGGGCTACAAGTCGTGGTGGTAGTGGGTGGGGCTACAAGTCGTGGTGGTAGTGGGTGGGGCTACAAGTCGTGGTGGTAGTGGGTGGGGCTACAAGTCGTGGTGGTAGTGGGTGGGGCTACAAGTCGTGGTGGTAGTGGGTGGGGCTACAAGTCGTGGTGGTAGTGGGTGGGGCTACAAGTCGTGGTGGTAGTGGGTGGGGCTACAAGTCGTGGTGGTAGTGGGTGGGGCTACAAGTCGTGGTGGTAGTGGGTGGGGCTACAAGTCGTGGTGGTAGTGGGTGGGGCTACAAGTCGTGGTGGTAGTGGGTGGGGCTACAAGTCGTGGTGGTAGTGGGTGGGGCTACAAGTCGTGGTGGTAGTGGGTGGAGCTACAAGTCGTGGTGGTAGTGGGTGGAGCTACAAGTCGTGGTGGTAGTGGGTGGAGCTACAAGTCGTGGTGGTAGTGGGTGGAGCTACAAGTCGTGGTGGTAGTGGGTGGAGCTACAAGTCGTGGTGGTAGTGGGTGGAGCTACAAGTCGTGGTGGTAGTGGGTGGAGCTACAAGTCGTGGTGGTAGTGGGTGGAGCTACAAGTCGTGGTGGTAGTGGGTGGGGCTACAAGTCGTGGTGGTAGTGGGTGGAGCTACAAGTCGTGGTGGTGGTAGTGGGTGGAGCTACAAGTCGTGGTGGTGGTAGTGGGTGGAGCTACAAGTCGTGGTGGTAGTGGGTGGAGCTACAAGTCGTGGTGGTGGTAGTGGGTGGAGCTACAAGTCGTGGTGGTGGTAGTGGGTGGAGCTACAAGTCGTAGGGGTGTTTAATCATATGTTTGTAGCCGAAATCCCAAGACCGATACAATAATTAAGATCAGATACAATACTTAAGATCACATACAACGAAATATTCCGATTCACGAAGACCTTCCTACGCCTCCAATTAAGAGCCACGCATCTCTTATCTCGACCACAAACGACTTGAACTTATTTCCTAAAGTGTCGACAAGCCCAGAGGCAGCACGCAGGACGGGTTCGACCCCCCAGAGGATAATATTGTTGCGAGTACCCCACTTAATGCTTGAGGGGGTTCGTAAACTAATTTAGGAAATACCGGGCCGCTATTAGCCAGAGGAGAGGTAAAGACTGGCGCTCAAGTGGACCCTTAAAGTGCTTGCAGAACCCTTGACCTAAGGGTGAACTTGCCCACAAGAAATGCTCACTGTAGTATGATATAACATTTGGAAAGTTATCATGTTTAATGTAGAATGATAACATCTGGAAAGTTATCATGCTCAATGTAGCATGGTAACATCTGGAAAGTTATCATGCTCAATGTAGCATGGTAACATCTGGAAAGTTATCATGCTCAATGTAGCATGATAACATTTGGAAAGTTATCATGCTCATGTGGAAGAGATCGCGTGGAGGGGTGAGAAGGGGGGGGGGGGATAACCTTGAGACGGTCACTAGGAGAAGTGGTGAGAAATAACCAGATGTGGAAGGCGTCTGAAGATGTCTGTCTGTCTGGGTAAAAGATTTGGCAGGAAAATCATCTTAAGATCACAGCAAGGAACACACACACAGCAAGGAACACACACACACAGCAAGGAACACACACACACAGCAAGGAACACACACACACAGCAAGGAACACACACACACACAGCAAGGAACACACACACACACAGCAAGGAACACACACACACACAGCAAGGAACACACACACAGCAAGGAACACACACAGCAAGGAACACACACACAGCAAGGAACACACACACAGCAAGGAACACACACACAGCAAGGAACACACACAGCAAGGAACACACACAGAGCAAGGAACACACACACAACAAGGAACACACACACAACAAGGAACACACACACAGCAAGGAACACACACACAGCAAGGAACACACACACACACACAGCAAGGAACACACACACACACACAGCAAGGAACACACACACACACACACAGCAAGGAACACACACACAGCAAGGAACACACACAGCAAGGAACACACACACAGCAAGGAACACACACACAGCAAGGAACACACACACAGCAAGGAACACACACAGCAAGGAACACACACAGAGCAAGGAACACACACACAACAAGGAACACACACACAACAAGGAACACACACACAGCAAGGAACACACACACAGCAAGGAACACACACACAGCAAGGAACACACACACACACACAGCAAGGAACACACACACACACACAGCAAGGAACACACACACACACACACAGCAAGGAACACACACACACACACACAGCAAGGAACACACACACACACACAGCAAGGAACACACACACACACACAGCAAGGAACACACACACACACACAGCAAGGAACACACACACACACACAGCAAGGAACACACACACACACACACAGCAAGGAACACACACACACACACACAGCAAGGAACACACACACACACACACAGCAAGGAACACACACACACACACACAGCAAGCAACACACACACACACACACAGCAAGGAACACACACACACACACACAGCAATGAACACACACACACACACACAGCAAGGAACACACACACACACACACAGCAAGGAACACACACACACACACACAGCAAGGAACACACACACACACACAGCAAGGAACACACACACACACACAGCAAGGAACACACACACACACACAGCAAGGAACACACACACACACACAGCAAGGAACACACACACACACACAGCAAGGAACACACACACACACACAGCAAGGAACACACACACACACACAGCAAGGAACACACACACACACACAGCAAGGAACACACACACACACACAGCAAGGAACACACACACACACACAGCAAGGAACACACACACACACACAGCAAGGAACACACACACACACACAGCAAGGAACACACACACACACAGCAAGGAACACACACACACACACAGCAAGGAACACACACACACACACAGCAAGGAACACACACACACACAGCAAGGAACACACACACACACAGCAAGGAACACACACACACACAGCAAGGAACACACACACACACAGCAAGGAACACACACACACACAGCAAGGAACACACACACACACAGCAAGGAACACACACACACAGCAAGGAACACACACACACAGCAAGGAACACACACACACAGCAAGGAACACACACACACAGCAAGGAACACACACACAGCAAGGAACACACACACACAGCAAGGAACACACACACACAGCAAGGAACACACACACACAGCAAGGAACACACACACAGCAAGGAACACACACACAGCAAGGAACACACACACAGCAAGGAACACACACACAGCAAGGAACACACACACAGCAAGGAACACACACAGCAAGGAACACACACACAGCAAGGAACACACACACAGCAAGGAACACACAACAAGGTGTAGAATAAATAATTCCACTGTTAAACATTTTACAATTACAATAAAGAGAGTCAACATTCAGTGAGTCCAAACTCACCCACCGCTCACAGGTGTGGCCACATGTGGGTGGTGCACCAGCCACAGGTGTGGCCACATGTGGGTGGTACACCAGCCCGGCCTTATTGATAAACTTCAAGAACCTTCGTGTCCTATGTGGCCTATGCACGTATGCAACAGGTGGCCTATGCACGTATGCAACAGGTGACCTATGCACGTATGCAACAGGTGACCTATTCAACTATACATCAGGTGGGCTAAATAATAGGTGGATTATATAACAAGTGCGCTATGCAACTATGCAACCGGTGGGGCTATGCAACCGGTGGGGGCTATGCAACCGGTGGGGGCTATGCAACCGGTGGGGCTATGCAACCGGTGGGGCTATGCAACCGGTGGGGGCTATGCAACCGGTGGGGGCTATGCAACCGGTGGGGCTATGCAACCGGGGGGGCTATGCAACCGGTGGGGGCTATGCAACCGGTGGGGCTATGCAACCGGTGGGGGCTATGCAACCGGTGGGGGCTATGCAACCGGTGGGGGCTATGCAACCGGTGGGGCTATGCAACCGGGGGGGCTATGCAACCGGTGGGGCTATGAAACAGTTGCTCATCAGTATAGGCCATAAGGCACACAAAACTGCAATTGTTTGAGCCAGACCATCAACTCGACCCATGCCAGTCTTAAACAGCTGTTGACAACGCACAGGGCTGTAACCTGTGGACTCCTTATCGTGAATGACGTAGTACGGACCTACCCGCCTAACAACCCTACCACAAGGCCACTGACCCGATAACTACCACAGACACCACAGCCATCGGCCTGTTATAAAACAGAAATGTATATTGAGTACTCGGGCCAAAGGTACAGACGGACCCACACAATGAATTATAAACAAGACTCAATGGCTTCAGACAATGAATATGAAATGTTAAGTTAGCAGTCAAGTTATACAAAATGCAGCGCGGAATTTGAATAATTAAGCATCAGGCGTCAATGCCCTTTTTTCTACGTGAAATTAATAATATATTTACAGGTGAAATATTCACAGGTGACAGAATGTTGTTGTTGTTGTTGTTTAAGATTTGCCACCTGGAACAAACAGTCCCAAGTAGCACGGGCTATGGTGAGCCCGCAGGGTGACTGGAGCAGCAACTAGCTCCTATGATGTCCTTATCATCCCTCAATAGACCGTGACGGAGGACTGAACATCAGAAAGCCAGTTTAAACAGCTAAGCTTTTTCTCTTTACTTTTCTCTCGTTTTTTATACAATATTTAGGTCAACAATTCCTTACTTTAAATACTTAAGAGGAATGATTAGTAGGCAATTTTCCATGTAAGGAACACAGCAAGAGGGACAGCAAGGAACGCAGCATGGATCACAGCATGGATCACAGCAAGGAACAGAGCAACGATCACGGCAAGGGACACAGCATGGAACACAGCCAGCGACACAGCATGGAACACAGCCAGCGACACAGCCAGCGACACAGCATGGGACACAGCATGGGACACAGCCAGCGACACAGCATGGGACACAGCCAGCGACACAGCCAGCGACACAGCCAGCGACACAGCCAGCGACACAGCATGGAACACAGCATGGAACACAGCATGGAACACAGCATGGAACACAGCATGGAACACAACAAGGATGGTGTACCAGTAGATTTACTGAAACCCATTAAAAAACAAAGTTCCAGAAGAGAATATTTAACAAAACTAATGTGTACAAAACGTATTGACCAACAGTTTGTACTCCAGCTATTAAATACATAATAATGTGGTGAATATCTAGAGAATACTTATTCCTCCATCCTCTCCTGCCAGCCTCTCACCCCTCACCCCAGCCTCTCACCCCTCACCCCAGCCTCTCACCCCCCTCACGCCAGCCTCTCACCCCAGCCTCTCACCCCTCACCCCAGCCTCTCACCCCTCACCCCAGCCTCTCACCCCTCACCCCAGCCTCTCACCCCTCACCCCAGCCTCTCACCCCTCACCCCAGCCTCTCACCCCTCACCCCAGCCTCTCACCCCTCACCCCAGCCTCTCACCCCTCATCCCAACCTCTCACCCGTCACCCCAGCCTCTCACCCCTCACCCCAGCCTCTCACCCCTCACCCCAGCCTCTCACCCCTCACCCCAGCCTCTCACCCCTCACCCCTCACCCCAGCCTCTCACCCCTCACCCCAGCCTCTCACCCCTCACCCCAGCCTCTCACCCCTCACCCCAGCCTCTCACCCCAGCCTCTCACCCCTCACCCCAGCCTCTCACCCCCCTCACCCCAGCCTCTCACCCCCTCACCCCAGCCTCTCACCCCCTCACCCCAGCCTCTCACCCCCCTCACCCCAGCCTCTCACCCCCTCACCCCAGCCTCTCACCCCCTCAAGTGTATATATATATATATATATATATATATATATATATATATATATATATATATATATATATATATATATATATATATATATATATAGTAGTAGCGCAGTCTGTAATGCCAGTCACAAAAGTATTAAAAAAAGAAAAGAAAAAAAAAGTATACTGCAAAAGGTGTCTTCACGGTGTTATAAACTGTAGGATAAAGCAGAGGGAAAAAACATTTAGAAATACTTTACTTTAAAAATAAATTAAACAAATTAAAAAAAATATCCAGGCTTGGCTTTAATACAAAGTGTGCAAAACAAACAAGATGAACAATCAAATATACATTACGTTAAGGTGCAAAATAAGATATGACGCGGAATACCGTAAGTCAAACTGATTAGCTCTGTTTCCACACCGGGGTATGTCAACAGGTCTACTCAGACGAGCACTCTGGAGTACTCTGAATCTTGGAGAGTTGTTTGTTGTTTTAGATTCAGCTACTCGGAACTAAAAGTTCCAAGTAACACGGGCTATGGTTCGTGGAGAGCTTGGTAGCCCTATATATACAGAATATCGGCCGGCCAGAGGGCGCTGACAGTCTTCTTTAACTATGAACCGGCTCACTTCAACTGCTTGTTTGGGAGGGCGTGGCCTCCCAGTGACCCTGGTGCGAGGTGGGGTGACGGGTCGTGAAGGGGGGGGGGGAGGGGGGGGGAGACTGGTAGTACTGTCTAGACGTTTGTAAGTAGTTGTTGTTGTTGTTGTTCTTGGCTGCAGTTCTTGATTACATAGACGTGAATGAGTAGAATAGGTGATAAGGGAGTAGGCCGAGTCACTTTCTAGAGATTTTACCGATTTATATATATATATATATATATATATATATATATATATATATATATATATATATATATGTCGTACCTAGTAGCCAGAACTCACTTCTCAGCCTACTATTCAAGGCCCGATTTGCCTAATAAGCCAAGTTTTCCTGAATTAATATATTTTCTATAATTTTTTTCTTATGAAATGATAAAGCTACCCTTTTCACTGTGTATGAGGTCAATTTTTTTTTATTGGAGTTAAAATTAACGTAGATATATGACCGAACCTAACCAACCCTACCTAACCTAACCTAACCTATATATAGGTAAGGTTAGGTTAGGTAGCCAGAAAAAGCTAGGTTAGGTTAGGTAGGTTAGGTAGACGAAAAAAATTAATTCATTAATTCATGAAAACTTGGCTTATTAGGCAAATCGGGCCTTGCATAGTAGGTGATACTGAGAAGTGAGTTCTGGCTACTAGGTACGACATATATATATATATATATATATATATATATATATATATATATATAGGTTAGTAAAATATCTGACTGGGACGTTGATCACCTTGCAACTTCCTGTCCAAGTGACACTTCAGAAAAGTCCTTTAGTTCCAGGGGCCAGATTCACGAAAGCAGTTACGCAAACTTACGAACCTGTACATCTTTTCTCAATCTTTGGCGGCTTTGTTTACAATTATTAAACAGTTAATGAGCTCCGAAGCACCAGGAGGCTGTTTATAACTATAACAACAGTTGAATGGGACGTTTTCATGCTTGTAAACTGCTTAATAAATGTAACCAAAGCCGTCAAAGATTGAGGAAAGATGTACACGTTCGTTAGTGCTTGCGTAAGTGCTTTCGTGAATCTGGCCCCAGTTGGATAGGAGATAGGTATCTCAGGAATCCTTCCTTATTGCGGGTGCTGGTGGTTCAGTAAGTGCTGTGGGCTGCTGCTTGTATGGTCTGCGGTTCAAAGCTCAGATTGTCCTAGTCAGTGAAGTGTTATATTCCACGATACGATAAAATATAAATAAAAGTGTGCGAGTGTGTACTCGCCTAGTTGTGCTTACGGCGGTTGAGCTCTGGCTCTTTGACCCAAACTGTCAACGTGTGTTCCTGAGCCTACTTGGCTCTATCATATCTACACTTGAAACTGTGTATGGAGTCTGCCTCCACCACATCACTTTCTAATGCATTCCATTTATCAACTACTCTGACACTAACAAAAATTATAATGGCTCATTTGGGCACTCAGTTTTCACTAGTGTTCCCTTGTGCGTGTACCCCTTGTGTTAAATGGTCTGTTTTTATCTACCCTATCAATTCGTTTGAGAATCTTGCATGTGGTGATCATGTCCCCTCTAACTATTCTGTCTCCCAGTGACGTGACGTTAAATTCCCGTAGTCTCTCCTCGTAGCTCATACCCCTGAGCTCGGGTAGTAGTCTGGTGGCAAACCTTTGAACCTTTTCCAGTTTAGTCTTATGCTTGACTAGATATGAAATCCATGCTGGAGCTGCATACTTCAGAAATGGTCTGACGTATGTAGTTCTGAATGATTCCGAAGTTCTGAATATATGTATATGTGTGTGTGTGTGTGTGTGTGTGTGTGTGTGTGTGTGTGTGTGTGTGTGTGTGTGTGTGTGTGTGTGTGTGTGCGCGCGCGTTTTCACCTAGTTGTGCTTGCGAGGGTTTAGCTCTGCTCTTTCGGCCCGCCTCTCAACTGTCAATCAATCAACTGTTACTAACATACGAAAGAAGTCTCATATTTGGTGTAATTGTGGGGATCCAAAGGCTACAAAATGAAAATTAAAAGCCGAGTTAATTTCTCTAGTATTTAGAGAGGAACCTGTCGTTCGCCTCTAAATACGTGTATCATCATCTCCTAAAATATGTGAAACGTGTGTCTTAAATATGTGAACATCGCAAGCGTCATGGTGAACTTTCTTACCGTATGCAGGCGAGGAGTCACAATAACGTGGGTGAAATATGTTGACCACACCACACACTAGAAGGTGAAGGGACGACGACGTTTCGGTCCGTCCTGAACCATTCTCAAGATCATTGTTCCTTATAACCGTAGTTACCCCACATGGCGGTGGAATCCTTGAAGCGGCTCCCCACACAAAAATAATCTCCGTATAGAGCAGCTCACTCGAGGGTTCGATCCTCAACCTTGGTAGGAAGTGGGGTGGGCGGCGCTCACACACAACAGGCCGAGGACAAGCAAGGCTTCAGCATTGTTATGGGCGTTCGAGTCAGCCAATTAGCGAAGCATTTTTAGTGCTCTGGCTTGTTGACTTTTTTTTTTTTTTTTGCCTCTCGTGGTGGTGGTGTGAGGCATCAACATGGCTCAGGATTTGGCCCACTTTTTCCTCGCACTTTTTTCCCTCTCTCCTGTGTTCTCGGCCTTGTCTTCTAACCTTCAAGTTTGGTGGATTCCTCTTTTTTATTATTGTTTTCCCTCTCTCTCTTCCTCTTGTACTTTCCTCTTTGTCTTTCTCTAGTATATTTAACTTTTTGTATTCTCCTCTCATAGTTTTTCTCCTCCTTCCCTCAACCTCTTCTATATTCCTCTTCCCTCTACATTCCTCTTCCATCCATCTATTGTTCTAAAAAAAAGATTCTATCCATAGTAACTATTGGTAGTATATACAAAATGTGTACTGTTGCACCCTATAAAAGTCCACGTTTTGTGGACTTCTATAGAATGGAAAGGGTGGGGATGAAAAAAATTATAGACGGTCTCGCTTCATGCAGGTCGGCGTTCAATCCCCGACCATCTAAGTGGTTGGGGCACCATTCCTTTCCCTCCGTCCCATCCTCTAATCCTTATCCTGCCCCCCCCCCCCTTCCAAGTGCTATATACTCACTATGGCTTTGTGCTTTTCCCTGGTAGTTCCCTCTCCTTCAGCGTTTCTAAAGGGCATAACAGAGAAGCAGCATGACCATGAACCCTAACCTAACCTGTTCTAGGACTAATATGAAAAGGACTTGAGAATGGTCCAGGACGGACCGAAACGTCGTCGTCCCTTCAACTTCTAGTGTGTGGTGTGGTCAACACTAATATGAAAAACCTGAAGTCTAACATACAGCACTTTAGGCCTAATTTATTTATATTACATATATATATATATATATATATATATATATATATATATATATATATATATATATATATATATATATATATATATATATATATATATAATGGTGAGGACTTAGAAAAGTCGGGTTGGTTGCTGCCGTTTCTGACAAAAGTTATGGGTTCAACAGTTCGTATTTTGTACGTTCCAGCCATAGTAACTTTAGATACTATTGCTTTTGGTGGATAGATTATAAAATATTTAATGTTCGATTTATTTTCATTTCCCCCTTTTATTGACTATTTTCCTGTTTGTCTTCGATTTCTCTAAAAGTCATCTTTAATTATTTATTTAAAAAATTGGGCTTCCAGTTTTTCTGATAAAAATTCATTAGGTTTTCTTCCCTTTTTTTTTCCTTTTGATATTTTGTCTTCAAAAAATAAACTACATTTGTACGTTTGAAAATCTCTCGTCACACTCCCCCCCCCCCCCGTTTCAGACCTCACCTTCTTAACATCTTTATTATCCTGAATTGTCTTCATCTTCATCAATTTCTTCGTCATCTTAAATTTTCTGTCGTCTCATCTTCATTTTCTACATCATCGTCGTCTTAAATGTTCTTGATTCGTCATTTTCTTGATTGTCATCTTCATTGTCATCATCTTATCCTTCATGTTCACTATATTCTCTTCGCCTGCTTCGTCTCTTACTTTTTATTAACTCTTAATTATTTATTTCTTAAGACTTGGTAACGTCAGACTTGGTAACGTCAGACTTGGTAACGTCAGACTGGGTAGCTTCAGACTGGGTAGCTTCAGACTCGGTAACGTCAGACTGGGTAACGTCAGACTCGGTAACGTCAGACTGGGTAACGTCAGACTCGGTAACGTCAGACTCGGTAACGTCAGACTCGGTAACGTCAGACTCGGTAACGTCAGACTCGGTAACGTCAGACTCGGTAACGTCAGACTCGGTAACGTCAGACTCGGTAACGTCAGACTCGGTAACGTCAGACTCGGTAACGTCAGACTCGGTAACGTCAGACTCGGTAACGTCAGACTCGGTAACGTCAGACTCGGTAACGTCAGACTCGGTAACGTCAGACTCGGTAACGTCAGACTCGGTAACGTCAGACTCGGTAACGTCAGACTCGGTAACGTCAGACTCGGTAACGTCAGACTCGGTAACGTCAGACTCGGTAACGTCAGACTCGGTAACGTCAGACTCGGTAACGTCAGACTCGGTAACGTCAGACTCGGTAACGTCAGACTCGGTAACGTCAGACTCGGTAACGTCAGACTCGGTAACGTCAGACTCGGTAACGTCAGACTCGGTAACGTCAGACTCGGTAACGTCAGACTCGGTAACGTCAGACTCGGTAACGTCAGACTCGGTAACGTCAGACTCGGTAACGTCAGACTCGGTAACGTCAGACTCGGTAACTTCAGACCCGGTAACTTCAGACCCGGTAACGTCAGACTTGGTAACTTCAGACCTGGTAACTAAATAA